CTTAAACGAAGTAGTCTTAAACAATATTTAAATAATACACCATGTGTACCAGTTATGCTTGAATGACCACATGGATATCCATTGACACTTACATGGAAAGGTTCAATTAATCCTCGTCGTTCTTTTGTAATCTCAGGTGAAGTTTGTGATGAAATTCAAGAATTTCTTGAATCCCTGAATTTTGTAAAATTTTGTGAAATTTATACGTTTTATGCTTATGAAAGTTACACTTTCTGTAGGTTATCGACCTTCCTTTATCCGGTGGATATGTGCAGAGGCATGTGTCGCATATGCAATGGCGTATGGGACCATATGCGAATAAGTTTTCAATGTTTTTTTCTTTTTATATAATAGTATTAATGTAAAAAAAGTTTTCTTATGAGTTAGCCAATACCCCAGTACACTTTCTGATTGCTAGTTTCGAACCATGGATGGTAAATTCATAATCCGTAAGCGAAAATATATTTCTAATGTTATCTATTTTTTCTCGTTGAATATCTATATTTTTATTTTCTTATATTGCACTCGTTTTCTCTTTTATACCACAAGTTTTAATTTTTTTATGACTGAAACGCTTATCTTTTTCAGATAAATACAGAATGACGCACGTATAATAACTTTTTGTATCATCAATAAAAGAGAAGAGTAAAAAATAGAAACATTTACTCATGCTCATATCTTATCGTATATTTTTATTGTGCACAGAAATAGCACCTGTACTTCTTTCAATTACAATAAGCTGAAAAGAAAGTAAAAGAACATGCACTGTAAACTCTGAGATATTCATTAGCATTGTTGAAACTACTTCAAAAGAAGTTTTTGGTTATAAGGTTTCTGGAAAACCTCGGATTTCTAACAAATCAGTGAGGGTCAAAATGACCGTCATATCAGAAATCAGCGTCGTCGATTACCTATAATCAGCTATATTTTGGACAAAAAACAAGTGGACACTTCAGAATCGTCTCTCATCGAATTAGAGTACTTTTACATATGCCAGCATATGGTCCAGCATATGTGGTACATGTCCATCAGATAGGGTATGATCGATAACCTACAGGTACACTAAACACACAGCTATAACATATATCTTTAAGGCAAAAACTGCACTTTAATATTGTTTTGCGTTTTTCTCGAAATGTGGTTTTTCAATAGTCCCTTCGATCGGGCCACATTACGAAAAAATGATCCGATCGAGCTAAAAATTTTACCACAGATACTTCAGATCTTATCTCGAGTTCGTTTTTTTTAAAGCGTTTTCGATTTCAACTTTTGGCGTGAGAAGGTTTTCAAAATGAAAAACCGGTTTTTTACATGGAACTTTCAGTCTTTTTCGAATATCTCGAGAAGGAAAGAATCTTTTTCGAAAAGAAAAAAGCGAACCTGAGATAGGATCTGAAGTACCTATGGTAAAATTTTGAGCTCGATCGGACTAGTTTTTCGACGGGTCGTAATGTGGCCTGATGAGAACTAGAGTTTTCCAGAAAACCCATAGAAGAACACGTCAGAAAATTCTGGGCCAAAATATTTCGATGTTCTATCTCTGGTATAAATTTCACTCCGATCCGACATCGGCTTCCCCGATTTTCAAGAGGGTCAGAAAAGAGGGGGCGCTTAAACGGCAAAAAATATAATTCATATGACGGTTTATGATAAACTGTTGTAAATAATTGACCATTGATATTTTCCATATACAAATCGAGAAAATCATCGAGATAATTGAGTATTTTTTTAATTGAAAGTACATCTTCTGTTTGTGGTATCATTGTATATAAGTCTACGACATCTATTGCACATAATATAGTTGCTTGACGTATATTATATTTTGACCATCCGTGCATTTGTTTAATTACTTGAGAACCAGAAGTAATGCTTGTGCTGTATCATATTCGATCGAATAATGGTCAAAGTAATTCATCAAGTTATTTTGAAATTTTAATCCTAGGATGCTTTAAACCGACAATAATCTGTCGTAGAGGTGTATTAGGTTTATGTACTTTTGGTAAATAGTATAAATGAGCTAGTTGTACTTCATTCAAGGTAACACAAATTTTCATATTGCTTTTGATTTATCTAATGAACTAATCTTAAATTTAATAAATAACGATTTGTACGTTCAATTAAATCTGCTAATGGATTATTTGTATTTAAACATTTATACTGTATTCATTTTGTTTCTCTTCCTAATTATTTTATTTAAAATTTGTTATGTTTCGTTGTAGTTTTACAACTTCTTCAGACATAAATATTTTTAACACTAATTGCTAACACACTTTCTAATTGCACTATAGAACAAACCAAAACCGTTGACCATTTTGAACTTTTCCGACTATTTTGCTCTATTTAGACCATTTTGATTTATTCTTTCTTATTTGTCTCTCTTATAGATATGGTAGTGATACGGAAACAAAAAAAAAAGAAATAAATAAAAAATAAAAAATAAAATAATTAGGAAGAGAAACAAAATAAATGTATTATCAACCTTCCTGAACAGAAATGAACTAAACATTTATATGCTTCAGTTTTATCCATATATTCTTTTGATTTCTTTTGATAATCTTGTAGTTTACCTAAATGAAAAACTTTTGATTTATCTGTTTTCTGAAGAATTATACTAGCCGAAAGAAGTTTATGCTTTAAACGTTTGCCTAATCTAACAGAATTCTTCTTTTTTCCAGAAGAAATTGTATGTATAATAACTTGTGATTGTTTTAATTGAATAGTTGTTAATAAATTATCATATGAAATTTTTTGATGTTGTATTTGTTGCTGATGCTGAATAGTAATAGGTGTAGCATGTAAATTTTGAAGAATAAGATCCAATTCAGCAAGAAATTTCTCGACCGAACGACCGGGACTAACTTTTTTCTCAAAAAATCAAACTTCAATTTTACGTTTAAGAGTAGCCAATTCAGTTGTACGTCGTCGAGATGCCGTTTTTGGATCATTATAAATAAGCCGAGGACCTAATTTTAATAATTGATATTCTTCCTCGGTTAATTTTGCTTGTGCTTCATATAGTTGAAGCGAGAAATCCTCGCCCAACGACCGGGTAAGAGTCGGGACAACTATTTTTTTCTCTTGTTCTATGACGCCGCCCTCTACTCGCTGTTCTTCTAATAAATAAATTGATTGTTCACCTACATTAAATCGTTTTTCACGTAGATCATAATAATTTTTAAATGCTAGAAAATCTATCTTAAGGGTGAGGGTGTTCTTTGGATAGATCAAAAAACTCTTCTGTTTTGAATGTTGTCAAGCTGAAGACAGTGTTGTCGAAGAGGCTAAACATGAAAAACCCTACTATAAGTGTCCATATAGTTTATTTAATGCTATACTCACACTCTTGAGTATAAGATAGCGAGAAAAAAATAATATAAGCTTCTGGTCACTGTGAACACTGAAAGTATTCCCATCCAATGTGGAATTTTATAAAAATCTGAACACCTTGAACTACGAATCGAACGGAATTGCCTGTAAAATTATTTTAGCTGTTCATAATTTCATTTTCTCAGGTGTTAAACACATTAAACATAATATCTTGATTTCTTTCAAAAGAAATATCCCATTATCCAAACGCATTTTCTAATTCTCAGATGCCACATACGCTGATGTTTGAGTTCATTTACTACTAATGTAACTCATTTATATTTCAGTTTATTTGTTTCGACCAATAAGCAACGAAAGTATTCGGAAAAATATGAAGACGGTAACAAGTTCTAAATTCATCTTTTTTCAAAAAAGTTGTCAGTCATAAACTAATTCGTGAAGACTAAGATCAGAGGAAAAGGTATCCGAAAATGATCATATTAGATTACTTTAGGAGAGATTGATGGATATGTGTAATAGTGATATATTTCCACATATCGTTCAATTTTGTTCTGTCAAATCCACAATCTGTGATGAACCATGTGCCAAAAGGTTTTCATTTACGTTTACACTAATATTTCCATTCAATACCGTCATAACGATGTGGTATTATTGAACACAAATTTCGCTAGTTTTAGTGTTGCTATTAGCGACATGACCTCTTAATAAACTTTCTTAGATCGCTGATATCTTGAAAATTACATGTCAAAGAAACACATTTGCCACATCACTTCAAAAAGACACTCCAAATATTAGAGTATGTGAAAAGATTTTCAATCGGGTGTAATTGATTATGCAGTAACTTCATCAATGTATCAAAACATTAGTTTTATTATTAGGCACCATGACTTTGTCATGTATTCTATGATATCAGAATTCTTGCGAACATGTACAGCAGACTTATAACCACTCAACATGATCCTTAAGCAAGGTTGAAACCCAGATCATAGTTAGCTTGACTCACTCCTCCCCCTCCTCGTCAGTAGGTTGAAATATCCTTATACTGATTCATAACTCACACATTCACCTTCACAAGTAATACTGAAATTGGCGAAAGTCGAATAGTTTTTCCTTACATACACATGCATATCCACAGCTACTGTCACAACTAGATCCGCACTGTGATCCTTCCATGCCATTTACGCTACCCATATTGATTCTTGCTGCATAAAATGATGAGTTTTGAATAGTTTATTATAAAAAAATCAGTTTTCTGTTATATTGTAAAAAAAATGTTGAGAAATCACGAATACAAAGAAATACCACACATGGAGTTGTTAGAAAAGTAATTAAGAAATAAAAAGAAAAAGGCACACAAAAAAGTATGTAGTGAATGTAATCGATGACAATCATATAAAAACCACGACAAATAAATCACTACAGAAAATACATGGTTAAGCAACTACTGGGGTTCTATAATGGTATGTAACAGTTAGGATATCTTCGAAATATGAGTAGTGTACAGTGATATAGCATCTATCAATGTGATTTTAAGTTTAAGATAATGGGTAATGACAAGGCTTTGAGTTTAAAATCTTAGAGTGTTTTTCATAAATTACTGCTTAGCTCATATAACCTTTCACGTACTTCTTTCTATAAAGTTCCACGGCTGCATTTCCTTGATCACCAGCCGCTTTTCTTAGAATTTCTTCAGTTACACAATGGGTAAGAGAGGCAGCACCTTGAGGGCTATAAATATCCAGTCGCTCACACCGTCCTACTATTGCGGTTGCAATATTTTTAAAATTACTTTGTGCACCATCATGAAGATAGAATGTGTGCACAGGAATATTTTTCGCCCTTAGCTTACTCAACTCATCTGCGTAATAGGTTGGTATTTTATACATTGTTTTGCTCCAATAGACTTCACCACCGCTAGCATTTCTGTCTCTAGCTATTGCTGGTTTTT